ATATATGATTATGATATTTAATATGTTCTCTTTTAAAGATAAACAAAGAAAATATTTACCCTCATTTCTAGTTCTATCCGTAAACAGTATGGCTGATTCTGATACTGCTGAATTTCTCCAGTAATTTCAGCTACTTTCCTCCTTTTACTGAAATTGATTAGATCTTTCCCTTTCTTTTTTAAAAAATCATTATTCCCTTCTTCGGTCTTCAGAATATTTGTTAAATATATTCCTAATGAAAAAAATAAAGAGAAATTATTTTAGAGTTGGTTTTTAATCAATCATTTGGTAAAACAATTGATCTAGTAAAGTGGAAAGATACACTACAGAAATCTGCAATTCTAAAATGATAAGGTAAGACTGATAAACTTTATGATTCTCAATTCATAATTTTTGTTAACACTAAAGAATTTAGAATAAGAGAATAAAAGGTATTAGTCTAACAAATGGCAAACTGAGCTTTTGTTTTTTTTGGCGGAACTGGGGATTGAACTCAGGCCCTTGCGCTTGCCAGGGAAGCACTTATACTACTGAGCCATCTCCCCAGCCCCTACTGAGCCATCTCCCCAGCCCCCAAATTGCGCTTTTCTGACCCTTAAGACTATGAGCAAAATCTAAATTTTTAATTTATTTTAACCAAAAGTTTTAATATTTGATTACAAATATTTGTCAATGATCTTTAGCTGATTATCAGTAAATTAACTTTAAGCAGTTTTAGTTAATGAATACAAACTAGTTGCTTACTCAGAGCCCATAATTTAATTAAAAAATAATTGCTTCTCAACTTGGCAATAAAAAGCTTTTAATCTTTTTTTGTGCATTACTACTGATTCATTTAAATTGGTGGTTTTGAGTGGACAGCAACTTTATCTCACTGGAGATACCTGGGAATGTCTGGTGGCCCTAAGATCGTGAATAAAGGAGGCCAGAACACTACTAAACATCCTACAATGCATGGTTCAGCCCCACACAGCAAAGAATTACTTGACCTAAATATCAGTAGTATCAAGGTTGAAAAGTTTTTTTAAGCCAATCTCTCACTGTATAGTTTTTCGAAAGTGTAAATACACACAAAAACCACCTGAGTGGCTGCTCCACCCTTACCAGGTAAAAGCATCTCAAACTGAGTTACCCCATTTCTCCAGACTCTGAGTAACTTTCTTTTCCTTAATCCTAGAGGAGTTAGGGAAAAGCAAACATTTAATTTGGTATTTCCAAACTCAAGTACATTTTCTACATTCAGAGCTTTGCTATAGTTGCTTTCTTTATATTTTCTTACTTTAAATGAAATAGAAAATAAGCTGCTTCTTCCTCAGATCCTTGCCCACATAACTCCTTGATGGTTAAATGTCCTGCTCAGTTCACAGCTTCCTTTTATTAAAAACTCTAAATAAATCAATCTCAATAGTACAGTTATGTGCCACATAATGATGTTTAAATTAACAATGGTTCACATATATATTGGTGCTGCCACAAGACTGAAGTGGAAGGCCTCAGAGTTTAGCTCAGCAGTACAGCATGCACTTTTAGCATACACAAGGCCCTGGGTTCAATTCTCAGCATCAAGACAAAACAAAACAGAACACTGCACAGAAGATTAGAATGGAGCTGAAAAATTGTTGCAGCTATTGTAACACTGTGTACTGTACATTACTCAAGCATGTGTGCTCCTGCTGGTGTAAACCATCTGACTGCTGCTGCCCATCACAGAAAATTATAGCACACCAATATGTGGTACAGGCCATAATCCTAGCTATTAAGAATCGCAAATTAAAGGCCAGCATGGCCCATTTAGTGAGACTGTCTGAGGAAAAAAAGGGGGGGGGGGCTAAGGCTAACACTCAGCTCTCCCTAGGCTCAATCCCTAGATCCCTAGTACTGGCGGAAAAAAGTATAATACACAACAGACTACATGTATGACAATATTCCCACAAAATTATCATTGAACTGAACATTTTTTCTTGCCTACTGACATCACAAATGTTATGAAGTCAGTGTAACACATCATTCATGTGTTTCTGATGCTATTAAACTAATCAAACCTGTGCTGCCAGTTGTATAAAAAGCACAGCACTGGGCTGGGGAGATGGCTCAGTAGAATAAGCATTTGCCTGGTAAGTGCAAGGGCCTGAGCTCAATCCCCAGTTCAAAAAAAAAGCACAGCACTAATAGTAAGGAACCACTTGAAACAATAATGACTATGTTGGGCTGGTGAGATGGCTCAGTGGTCTAAAGCACCTACTTAGAACAAGCTTAGCAAAGCACAGGGACCACGGTTCAATCCCCCAGCGCCACATGCCAGCCAGCCCTGCCCCCTGGTGGGCTGAGCTGGCCACACACACACACACACACACACACACACACACACATAAATGAATAAAATAAATTTTAAAAATAAAGTTTTAAAAAATTCAAAAAAAAAAAAATAATGACTATGTTACTGGCTCATGCATTTACTTCATTGTTATGGTTTGTGCCTAGATGTCCCACCAAAGCCTCATGCAGTCATAGGTGGGGCTTGCTGGAATTGATTCATGGTGCAATACTGGTGCACACCCTCTGGGTGTGAGTGCTACCTGCCCTAACGGTGGGGAGCCTGGATAGAATATGAAGGTCAGAAAGAGGATTAAATTGTTTCTTGCTGCTTGCTGCTTTGTTGCCTTCTGCCTGCCAAGAACTACTTCTTGATGATTCCCTAGGCCATGCTACCCTACCTTGGAGCCAGCCAACTATGAAGTGAAACCTCTACAAACTACTGTTCCTTTAACTTGTAGGTATCTTTTTTTTTTTTTTTTTTTTAATGTATTTGGTACAGTACCTTACTACGTAGCTTGGACTCATAGTGATCCTGTTTTCAGCCTCCCCAGCACTGGGATGACAGGCAAGCACCACCACGCTCAGTCTCAGTGGCCAGCTCAGCACCTCCAGGGTCAGGGCCAGCACTGCATGTGGTGCCAAGGATTGAACCCTGGTTCTTGCATTTGCCTAAGCAGGCACTTAGTCCACTGAGCTATCTTACCAGCCCTGGTATTTGGTAATTTGTCTTATCAATATGGAAAAATAACTAAGACATTTGCTGTATTTATTATTTTAGGGCATAGTTTTCTCTTCATATATAAAAAAAGTTTATTGTAAAATGTATGCTGCGTTAAAGCCAGCAGCAGGCTCAAAGACCTTGTGTTTACTGTTTCTGATGAATGTATGAGGAAGCCACACTGAAGGCCAGCTTCAAGGCCATGTACCAGTAATCCAGCTACTACGAAGGCTGAGACAAGGGGGTCACCCAAGCCCAGAAGTTAAGACTAGCCTGGGCAACATAGTGAGACCTCGTCTCAACAAAACAAAAGACCGCAATGCCACACAGCAGCTACATTGAGTGACTGACCTCTACCATCCAGGTTTGCATTAAGTGTACTTTTTTCTTTTAGTAATGATGATGTAACTCAAGGTGTTCAAGCTGAGCTATATCCCTAACCTTTTTAAATTATGTCTTAGCCTTGCTAAGTCGCTAAGGCTTGAGCTTGTGATCCTTCTACCTCAGTTTCTAGAGTGCTGAGATTACAGACATGAGCTACCACACACAGCCATAGTACACTCTCACCGTGTCTGTACAACAAAATCATATACCAATGCACTTCTCAGAATGTACAGCTATCACCAAGCAGTGCATGACTGTTCAAGAGCAGTTCACTTTATAAATTCTGTCTAATTACACAAAAATAACTTTAAAAACCGTTAGTAAATTAAAGAGAAAATAAACACTGTAGATGTGGTAGAACAACAGTAACAGTTACAATTTTGAGTGCCTTCTCTGTGTAAGATCTTATTTTAGTACACATTTTTAATTCTTACAACTCTACTAAATAATTAGTGTAGTTTTCATTTTATAGATAAGGATATAGAGTATTTTATTTATAATACAAATAATAATACAAATAGATAATTGGTAAAAACAAGGACAATCTGCTTTTAAAGACTGGCCTCTTTGTGCTATAATACAGTTACCCTCAAAATATAATATCCATATTTAGTAACTCACCAAAAAAAGGCACACAAGGTGGATTGATTGACTTTAGTTTTGCTAGGTATTTTTTAAAGTGATCTTGACTTAATTCCACAGCTTCATCCAAAATTTTCCGTTTTCTTTCCTGTAATGCCTTTAAAACATAAATTGAGTATAATTCTTAATTATAAACCAATCACACTTATGGATGTCGAATGTCAGAATGTGTAAAATTTTAATTAAGAGATAAGTGGCATTCCTCTGGGTACCCGCCTAAACCTATTTATTTATTTATTTTTGAGACACAGTGTCACTATGTAGTTCAGACTGGCCTGGAACACATGGCAATCCTCCTGCCTCAGCCTCCCAAGTGCTGGGATCACAGGTGTGTGCCACCAGGCCTGGCTCTTCTTTTTTAAATCCATAAATGTAACCTAATACAAATTAGAAGTTTAAGCAATCAAAATTTTTTTCTCAATTACTTTGTTATTATTTTAGTAAGCCAGGCTTTCAAGTTATAGCTGTAAAAAGGAGAATCATAACTGCTCAGCATTCGAATATTTTTCCACTGAAAGGTCTTTTGGAGATAAGGGAAGGGTTCTGATAAGGAGATGACCACATGAGTAATAAAACTTGAACAAAAATTAACAAATGAAGTAACAGGCTTTTCTCTTTTATTTCACCATTAAACTTCAGTACTAGAAATTAACCAGTTTATAATCTTACAAACTCTCTCTCTCTCTAGCAAACATTATACCTGATAGGAAGCATTCAAACCATTTCCTTTAAATTAAAAAGAAAACAAAGGTGTCTGCATTTATAGCTTTCAATCAATACAATGCAGAATTCTTACCGAACTTCCCAAGAAAAATGACAAATAAGTGATTTTAAAGAAAAAAAATCACTATTTAGAGACTATAACTACTCACAAATTAACTCCAATAAAAAAACCAAATGCTCTCTATGTATAACTTTAATTAATAAAGGAAGCATTGGGCTGGGGAGATGGCTCAGTGGAATATGCACTTGCCAGAAGCTCAAGGGCCTGAGTTCAATCCCCGGTTCCACCAAAAAAACAAAAAAAAACCAAAACAAAATAAAGGAAGCATGATAAAAAATTCTAAGATAAATCTTAAAGTAGTATGAGATATCTGCCAAGAAAATACAGTGTAGAACTGTACCATGTTTGGGGTAAGACAAATTACTGTAACATTATCAATTTTATAGATCCAATGCAACTTCTGTCAAAATGCCAATTTTTAAAAATGAAGCTTGAAATGATTGTGAAATTTGTATTGGAAAACAAAGAGCCAAGAATAAATCATTCTGAAGATGTATAAAATTGATAGGGGCTTGCCCCTTTCCTAAGAATTAATATAAATGCATGGTAATTTAGATATGTAGTGCAGGAAAAGTCAGACTTAAAAAAAGAACAGAGAGACCAGAAACAGGCTCATGTGTGGACTCTATCTTTGACACTGCTAGCCCTGCAGGGGGAAAGAATTGACTTCCAATGAATTTTGTGAGAGCAGTTGGGTGCCACAGAAAGCAAAAAGGGAAATTGAACTTCAATCTCACATCAGCTGAACCAAGGATTTAATGAGGAAAGGCAACACATTAGGATAATAAGAAAAGATTTGACAAGTCAATAAAAAAATAAAAAGCAATAAAAAGCAAAGAAACAGGAATAAAGCAGGTCAAGTTGACTACCCTATAAATTCCTGTTCATTAAAAAGTTATCTCAAAATAGATGAAAAAGGAAACTTTAATTTGGGAAAAGTTTATCCACTAGGCACTAAATGTTATAATTCAGAATGTAAGAAAATTCATATGGATCTGCATGAAAAACTGAAGAGCAAAATAAAAGTTCAAAGATTTCCATAAGGTGGCAAGGAAAAGGTCCAGAGTCTGATCCCTGGTACAAAAAAAAAGGAAGAATTCGTAAGAAGAAATACAAAGAACCAATAAACACTTGAAAACAGGTTCAAACTCATGAGAAATCAGGAAAATGCCAACCAAAACCACAAGAATAGAAAACCAGAAGGCACGACAACATCAAGTACTGACAAGGACATGAAACGACTGCCTCTCACACAATCTTTCTCACTGTTCACGTCTGCAGGGCCCTGGACACAGGAGCTGCATTCCACTGAGCTGCGTCTCTGGGCCGCTTTCACTGGGTCTCACTAGTTGTTATACTGCCAGGCATGGCATGAACTTTTGGCCCCTCTGCCCCTGCCCTCCAGCACTCCAGGAGTGAGAGCCACGCTAAGCCTGGGTCTCTTGTGTTTGTGATGGCAAGAGGAGTGGGGGTAGGGAACGGAGGAGCAAAATGAACCAGTATGTACAGAGCTATAAGCAGTAAAACTACAGAAAGAAAAGAACTGAAAGCAGAATATTCGTAAAAGTGCTTGGTTCTGAAGGTAAGGAAGGAGGTGGGATTAAAGGGGCTCTTAAACTAGATGCCAGGTATACAGATATTATTTTTATTCTCTATATCTTATATATAACTTTATAAACACTACTCCACAATATTTTTTTAAACTATCCCAGCATGTGCCACATGCCTGGAACCCCAGAATTCGAGAGGGCAAGGCAGGGAAACCAGTGTGCACTCAGGTCAGCCTGGGCTACACAGCAGATTCTGTCTTAAAAATAAAAACCCTCAATACTTATCCTCTAAAATGAATGTACTCGAATAGAATGATTTGTCTAATGGTGTTTGTAAATAGGATCTCAAGTCCGCATCTTGTACAGCAATTAACCACTAAGAATATATGTGGTGTGTTGGTTGTTGAAACTGTCCTATCACTATCTGTTTATCAATAAAATTATGAAAAAAAATTTTAAAAAAATGAATGTACTACCTCAAAGGTTTTTTTCAAACACACAACTGAATTAATCTAAACATTATATTAATCTTAAGTATATAAAGTTCATTAATGTAAGTCATACAAACAGCTAAATATAAAAAAAATATAAAAATGTTTTTTCCTTCTTTCCCCTTTAATCACAAACTACTGAAAAAAAATCAGTGTTAGGAGAGAAATATGAGGGCTGGGGTACAGCTCAGTGGTGAGGCCCTGGGTTTAATCCCCAGTCCAAAAAAACAAAACAAAACAGGGGGCCTGCCCCTTAGCTCAGTTCTTTAAGTGGCTGCTTCAACAAAGCAGTCAGGCTCAGGTTGCTGTGGTTCATCCCCCCAACTCAAGCCAGCCAGTCATGCCTTGAAGGCATTAGGAGCAAAAAACCAAAACAAAACAAAAAACACATAAAGTGAGTATGTATTGTTAGGTCTATTTTCTAACACTAAAAATGGAATCATAGGGCTGGGAATATAGCTCCATGGCACAAGCACCTGAAAGTTTACCACATTTTAGTTAAGAGTAGGGTTAGAGTTCAATACACTTAATATTTACATTAAGTATAGTAAACAAAGTTGTAAGTCTCATTCTCTGATAAATTCTAAACTTACTAATATATACTGATGTATTTTCTAGTATCTTCCTATCACTGTATTTAAGAGAAAAGGGTGAATTTACAAGAAAAGTAGTCTCCTTTACTTTGATTACATCTTCCCTTAAAAGGATGAACTAGAGCAACGATGAGATGAGCCCAGCGAGCGCCTCTGCCCCAGGGAGGGAAGGAATGGCAACGAAGATGATAACCATCTCCCCCCAAGGAACAAAAGGAGTAGTAGGAGCCCGGTCTTTCAGGATTCCTGGGACACTAAGCCTCCCAGCAGCGACAGTGGCAGAAGCACCAGCACCAGCATCCACAGTCCAGGCCAGGCCAGTGGGCTAGAGAGCGGCTTGTGCCAGGTCATCCCCGGATCCAGTCCCAACACCCCTCAGCCCACGTCTGAGAGGGCTGCACTGTGCCACGGCCCTTATTTCCACATCAACCAGACGCTGAAGGAGGCCCACCTGCACTGCCTGCAGCACCGAGGATGGCCTCTGACATGATGCACCAGAAGTTTCTTGCCTTCTGTGAAGGGACAGTGCTATGCAGATTTGATATTTCAACTTAAGATTTGTTCTGAAAAATTGCACACAAAAAACCTGCCTGTTGGCTTTTCAGTCTATTTGAAATAACAAGTTAACAGGCAATTGTTTACTTGTGGTTCTGCTGCAGTTCAGACTGATTTCCCAAGCTGTCACTTAGAAGTTCTACTTTATGTAAAAGAGCCTTTTAAAAATGGAAGCTCTTCTTTTTTTTAAATTAAATAAACCAGTGAAGAGTAAAAAAATTAAAAAAATAGTGGGGCTGGGGAGATAGCTCAGTGGAATAAGTGCTTCCCTGGCAAGTGCAAGGGCCTGAGTTCAATCCCCAGTTCTGGAAAAAAAAAATTAATAAATAAATAAAAAATAAATAAAAGGATAAAATAATTAGGCCTAAAACTTACCTCAAAGGTATGGTCTAGTCTGTATACAGACACTGAGTTTACTGCACTGACTATCTCCAGTACACCATTGAAATTATTCAAATCTTGAAAAACTTGTAGAATTTCTATAATTCTACTTAATACTGCCACCCGTTCTTCAAAATTTTCTGCTTCCACAATGCATCTAGTAATAGCAACAACAACAAATTAGTGCCTTAGAAAAGTGTCTTCACGTCATTTAGAAAATAAAAAACTTCTTTTGAGTCAGAATTTTAAGTTAAATATAATACAGCAATTACTACAAACAGTAAAATGGAGTAAGTAACAACTTACTTTTCAAACCAGAGAGTGAGATTTGTGGTATGACGAATCATTTTCAATAAATTTGGAGAATTTATCTCTTTATCTTCTTTGGTCCATACACTCCCTACAAGTTCAGATGGTTGAACTTTCCTATGGGAAAAAAAAATCAATACAGCTTGACCCCAAAGGGCTACCAGTATCAAAATCATTTAAAGATCTCTATTTATTTACTTAATGTTAGTTTTTTGAGACAAGGTCTCGGTATGTAGTGCAGGCTGGCCTCAACCTCACTTTTATAGCCCCGGCTAGCCTTGAACTAATGGCAGTCTTTTTGTCTCAGCCTCCCAAGTGCTGGGATTGCAGGTGTGCACCACCATACTCAGCAATCTCCTTGTGTTTAGTAAGAAAAAAATACGCCCCCCCAAAAAAATTGACAAGTATATGAACAAGTTCAGAGCATAACAGACGTAGGTAGCCATAAACATTCAGGAAAAAGAACGTAAAATTGCAATGAAATCCCATTTACTCCATCAAACTAACCAAAATCTGACAATACTAAATGAATGAAAATATAATAGAAGAGGAACTTTCCAACAGCTGTCTGCAAGGAAAAACTAGATACAAGCACTCTGTAAAATAATTCATCAATTTCTCAGTGCTGAAGACATTCACACTACCTGACTTAACCACCTCTCTAAATTCTTACGCAAAGTTTTAAGAGCAGGCCAGGCATATAGCTCAGCAGCTATAAGCACTTGCCTGACAAGCACAAGGTCCTGAATTCAATCCCTGGTACTGAGGGAAAAAAAAGAGAGAGAGAGAGATTGACTAAAGGCTCTAAAATTATGAGCCAACATGTTTGGAGCCAGGGAAATGGCTCAGAAGAATAATCGCTTGCCTGGCAAGTGTAAGGGCCTGAGTTCAATCCCTGGCTCTGCAAGAAATAAAAAATTTAAAAACAACAACAACAACAACAAAGTTTTAGGGGCATATTTACTAGAATTTTTGTTTGCAAAAGTGAAAAACAATCTAGAAGTTCATCATCAAGAGACTGGATAGGGGGCCTGCCCAGTAGCTCAGTTGTTTAAGTGCCTGCTTAAACAAAGCCCTCAAGCTCAAGCTTCTGGGGTTCCAACCCAGACAGTCACTGCAAACCAGAAATGCCCTAAAGGCATTTCGAGCCTCCCCCCAAAAAAACAAAAACCCTTCTACCATTTTGGGGCTGGGGAGATGGCTCAGTGGAATAAGCACTTCCCTGGCACGCGCCAGGGCCTAAGTTCAATCCCCAGTTCAAAAAAAAAAAAAAAAAAAAAAAAGAAAGAGACTGGATAAACTGAAATATTCATATAATGGAATATTAGATAGTGTCCAAAATAAGTAAATGAGAACTGTATTCATCAACTTGAACAATTATAAGAAACAATTTAAATAAAAACATGCTGCAGAATGATATCAAATTATATGCAGTTTAAAAATGTGTAAGCCAGTAGTATATATTATTTTGGAATAAGAGTCTATGTGTATGTATATAAATATGTAACAGAAGAACAGCAAGGGCCTGGGGAGATGGCTCAGTATAATAAGCGCTTCCCTGGCAAAAGCAAGAGTCTGAGTTCAATCCCTGATTCCGCGCAAAAAAAAAAAAAAAAAAAAAAAAGAAAAGAAAAAAGAACAGTAAACATCAAATTCTGAGTAGTGGTCATTTCTTGGAGGAACGAAGAGCAATGAGAATGGGAAAATTATAAGAACTTTTAATTTTATCTGTAATGTTTTCGTGTTTCATTAGCACTCATGTTATTTCCTAATTTGTTTGGGTGCTTGAAATAGCTAATGAAAAATCAGACAGAAAAGCAGATTAAATCATGACTTACAATGGATTAGGATAATTCATTTCCAAAAATGAACAATAGCACTATCATTAGTATCTTATGTTCTTGGCTCTTCAGAAAATTCTTTTTACATCAGTAGATTTGAGTACAAAGAGGTACATGCTAATATTCTGGAATATATTTACGTAGGTCTATTATTTTATCAGCAATTGACAACATTTATTTTGTCAATGTTTCATATCCTGTCCGTTTTCCACAATACACATCACTAATAGAAGTATTTTTCTACCTTAAAAGCAGGTCCACGTGGAATAAATTTTTTTTTTCTAATGTCCACTCATAACAGGAACTCTATGAGGAAAACTCAATTCAGTATTATTTGCTTTGCTGCCTCAAATAATAAACCCATTCATTCCTACCAATCACAAATTCCTCAATCTAGCTGTCAACTAAAGTGCTCCTAGGTACAACTAAGAACAGATTCGAAACAGGAGAGAGAAAAATCACTCGAAAGTGGTTGCTCCTCTTTGCATTTGTCTTTTCACCATTCCTTTGGTGAACATTCATCAGCTTCTAATCTACGCCTTTTACTTGCACGAGAAACTGGTAAAAATTGTGCTCTGAGCTGCCCTCCAAGCCCAGGAGAACAGATGAAGTATTTTTATGCACTCACAAATAATTAGCAAAATGCTTTGAAAACACGTAACAGGTATGTTCAAAGCTCTTTAAAACAGTAAAAAATTACCAGTAGTCATCTACCTGTAGAGATCAGATTCCAGAAGTGTTAGCTGACGTGCAACTTCTATTGGATGAAGCGTCATGAGATCAAATGTTTCAAACTGTCCAGGTCTACTGATATGCCACTCAATCGGAGGAGGTGGGCTTTCAAAGGTAATATTATGGCTTATTCCATTTGCCTGAGCTTGCTTCTTCCTCTTGATGATCTTAGCAATTGACTCTACCCATTTCTTCATGGCTTTCCCTAGGAAAAGAACATATACGCAGAACTGGTTTTTGCTTAACAGACATAACTGTGTCTATGACTTTTACCTAATTTCAACAACTGTCAATTCATGGCCAATTTTTGCTTCATCTAACCACATTCATGTGCTCCCTTAACTCTGTAGCTATACTTGAAACAAATTCAAGACATTCTATTACTTCATTCATATAAAAGTATGTGTCTCTTAAAGGCACAGTACTCGTCGACATAATTACAATATCATTATCACATATAAAACTGAAATCTTAAGTGTCACCAAAAAATGTTAGCCTTCAAATTTCTCTCTTAAATGTTTTCTTACAGTTGGTTTGTTTTTCAAAGGACATAAACAAGAGTCATACTGCATTTAGTCACCATGTCTCAAGTCTGAAGCTCTTAATTCACTGTGTTGCAACTGCCTTGAACTCAGACAGCCTCCTGCCTCAGTCTCCTGCAAGTTGGGATAAAGGCATGCATCACCATGCCCAGCTTTTCTGTGGTGTCAAGTTTCTTTCTTTTTTTTTTTTTTTTTTGGTGGAACCAGGGATTGAACTCAGGCCTCTATGCTTGCCAGGGAAGCACTTACTCTACTGAGCCATCTCCCTGGCCCCTGTGGTGTCAAGTTTCAGTTTTCTCTATATCCTATATTTTCTGAAACCCATAGACAGAAACTTGACTAATTCAGGATCAATGTTTTGTCATGAATGCTTGCTGAGAATATTTACAACAGGAGACATACAATGTCTGGTTACTCCCCTTTTTGTGATGTTAACCATCTCCTGCTAATTCCCTAGATCTTTTATTTTATCAGAACTAAGGAATCATTCCTTATTACTTGACTACTTCTATTAAAAAGGAACTTTCCCTTATGAACTATTTGGTTGTCCTAACATGTAACTTTATAGAAAAGGATTTTAGATATTAACATAACCATTTATTTTAATACATGTGTGTACTTGTTAGAAACTTCTTACATTATATATAATCTAGTATTCTCGTTAGGGACACAATCTAATATTAAGAACAAGTTTAAAATATCATAAAGATGTATCTTAGGGCCAGGGATACAGTTCAGTGGCCTAGTGCCTACCTGTTGATTCACAGCTCCAAAAAAAAGTATCTTAAACATATCAAAGTTGAAACAAAGGAGTAATGTTCTCCACTCTAAATTAAATTCCCCTTAAAGAATAAATAGGACATGAAATAATCCAGTCTTGTTATATTATTTTTAATGTCCCATCCTCTTAGGTGAGACATTAATGTTCTTAACTTAATAATATATATCTAGGGCTGGCAAGACAGCTCAGCAGAATAAGTATGTGCTTAGACAAGCACAGGAACTGGGGTTTGATCCCTGGCACCACATGCTGTACCAGCCCCACCCCTGGGCATGCTGAGACAGCCAGCGAGATCGAGTGTGGTAGCACACACGTGTAATCCCAGTGCTGTGAAGGCTGAAAGCAGGAGGATCACTACAAGTCCTAGCTGCGTAGTGAGGCCCTGTACCAAATATATTCAAAATAATAATAATAATAATAATAATAATATATGCATATGATCACACATATACTTATGGAAATATTCATGACCTACAGCTTCATTTCATGATTCAGAAATTTGAAGTAGGAAATGTCTACTTTCTGGGGGAAGTTAATATATAAAAGTTGTTAGTCATCCAAAATTAAAGAATAATTTAAGGAGAAGAAAACATAAAACTACACATATTTTTATTTATTAAAGGAATGGAAACCTTAAGGTAAGATAAAATTAAACAGACTTATTAAAGAAGACTTTTAATTTCTTTAAAGGAAATGCTCTCCTCAAAAACTTGAAAGAGGGGCTGAGGGTATTTGCACAGTGGTACAGCATTTGCCTAAGACTTGTGAGACACTGGATTTGGCCCCAGCACTACTAATAAATACACAAGAACTTGGAAAGCCAATGTCTTGAGGCTCTGGGTAGCTCAAATGTATGTGAGCTTTTTGGAAACGAAAAATCACTCCAAATGTTATTTCAGTTTCCTAAAAACAAGAAAGTTTAGCTTAATTAAAAGTAACACAATCTTCAAAATAAACTTGTGCAACATGAGATTCAATTTAATCTTTAATATACCTCTTACACTTGATATGAAGGATTCTAGTCTTTCAAGCAATTCCAAGTCTCTTTCAAAGTCATAAAAATGGTGTTCAACCCAGTGCCGAAACACGTTTAAGACCCTAATAAAGTGGAAAGAAACACATTTTAATGAGGCATATAAGTATACTTCTTTTATTTCTCTAATGCCATGGTGGTTGTTTTAGGAACAAGAGCCATCATATTTGCAGTCATTAATTTGTATTGAATTAGTATCACAAATAGTTTTCTTGAGTAATATAAAGAAAGCCATTCTCCAGATTGGAAATTACTTTTAAATTAGACTTTAAAATATTTCTAAGTATAAAAATTGTGGTTTCTGTATTTCATTACTCATTATGGCAAATACCTTAATTTATATGGAGAAAATGCATGTGTTATATAGTACAAAAGCTATTTTCAAGGTTTGAAACTGAAAAGGCATTTTTAAAATATAAATTTTGATTTTTTCAACAGAAAATGGAAAGCTAAGATTTAATGTATTAGATTCTAAAATTCAAGTGTGTAATCTACAAATACACCTATACTTTTAAATTTCATTTCCAAAGATAGTAATTTTTTTTATGCAATACTAGGGATTGAACCCAGAATCTTTACACTGAGCTATCTATTCCCAGTTGTTTTTGTTATGTTTTTGAGACAGGATCTCACTAAGTCAGTAAATTGTCCAGGCTGGTCTTGGACTTCCTATTTTCCTGCCTCAGCCACCTGTTCTCTAGGGTTATAGGTATATAGCACAAAAACAGACTAAAAATATTTCTGGTAACTGTTTAGTTTTGTAGAATCATAAAAATACTTCTTACCCATGTCCAAGTGAATACTGAATCACCTACATGAGCGTCACATTCCACTCACTACCTCACAGACACCCTGACTAGATATTAGCTACATCAACATTTTTTCATTACACCAACAATGACCATTTCTAAGTTAGCTTCTATTCCCCCTTTGACAAACAACAGTATTCTTTCAGGTTAAAAAAATACATTTAATTTCCAATCTTTGTCATGTTATTTGTATTAAAATAACTTTACATCATGTGTCTGATTAACTCACTGGCCGAGAATATATCAAAATATTACAATTCTGCTTCCATTTTGTCTCTCTTCTAGTTTCTACAGTATTAACGCAATTTTAAAATTGTCATACAAAAGAAAAAAATCTTCTCATTAAGAATTCATCCAAAAGAAGAAAAAAAAAAGACTTCATAAAAATTTAAAACTTCAGCTAGAAAAGCCAGTCTTGGAAAAAATAATTTCAAAATATTTTTCTGCCAAAGGATTGCCTCAAATCTTAATATACTCCTATAACTCAAATAAAAACTCAACAAATATAGGTAAGATTCAAATGGTTTTTCACAAAATAAGATGAATAGCCAATAAAATATAGTAAGATTTCAGTATTAGAGAAACATGAATTAAAACCCCCATAAGATACCATTCTGCAGCCAGTAGCATTAGCTAAGGTATAAAAATGGACAATGTAACCATGGTTAGTACAAGGAGGAACTGAATTCTTTGGTCTGAATGATTCGAGACAATTTGGACTAAACCATTCTACTCTGAGTTATTTATCCAAGGTTAGTGGAAAAAGACAAACATAAAATTGAAAGACTGTAAGATAAAATTTATAGCAGTTTTATACATAATAAAGACTGGAAAATGCCTGGGCATCCTTTAGTGTCACACACACAGACACAGACACAGACACACACACACACAGTGATATATCCATGCAATGAAAAATCACCTCAGTAATAAAAGAGAAAACTAATGATATAAACAATGTGAAAAAGGCCCAGGAAGATAGCTCCGTAGAATAAGTGCTTGCCTGGCAAGCACAGGGTCCTGAGTTCAATCCCCAGTACAGAAAAGAAAACAACAACAACAACAACAAAAAAAAAAAAACAAAAAACACAATGTGAATGTCTCTCAAAAGCACACTGAATGAAGTCAGAAAGAGTAACTATCTGCAATTCTTCAACAGGCAAAATTAGTCTATCAGTAAAATCATAATATGGAGGTTGGCCCAGAAATGGCTGTGCATGCTTATAAATTCCAGCTCTTTTGAGAGGCTGAGGCAGGAGGGTTACAAGTTCAAGGCCAAATGTGCAACATAGTGTAGACCTATCTCAAAATAAAACAAAAAGGACCGAGGTATGGCTCAGCGGTATAGTCCTTACCTTGCATTAGTAAGGCCCTGAGTTCAATCCCAAACACAAAATACCCAGAGATCTGCATTTGGGCAGTGCGGGGAAAGATGGATTAGAATAAGCAAGAGGTAGTTCTCTAGGATGTGCTCACGTTCTATTAATATTCTATATCTTGGAGTTTGGATTACAGAGTTAACATACACACATTTATTAAAATTCAATCAAAATACAAGTAAGATGTGCATATTGTATGCACATTCTAGAACAAATGATAAATGCTGGACTGCTGATAATATACAAGTTGGAAGTATTTCTGGTGTGTACATATAAAAAAAAGATGCTTAATGGACAGAAGAATGATAAATGAATATATGTGTGATAAAAGCAAGTATGGAAAAATGTTAATAGTAGATGTAGGCCATGGGTTTAAAATTCTCTGTTCTGATCTATGTTTAAAAATATTGTACCTCCACTCCATCTAATCTTATCTATTACTATATGCAGTATAATGTCTTCATTTCTCTAAGGTCAATTTCTTCACATATTTCTTCTGTACACCATTCTGAGTTCTGTCCTTTTGCTTTTTATTTATATTATTTCCCATGACCCTTACTTCCTTATAATTGCCTTTCTGCCTATTCTAAATATATGTTATGGACAATCTCAGATTTTCTTTCACGATGTCTTTAATTATTATAGCCTAATTTCAGCTATTTCTAAAATTTTATAGGCATATATTTCTGTAAACCACTTAAATACACAGACCATTCTATGTGACAGTTCCCTTTTTCTCAATAAGGTCAGGGTACTATGATGCTGTAACATCTTGACAAAGCTATGCTATTATTTCAACATTAGTTCAGTATACACAAGTACAGAACTCAAAAGACAGAAAATGCTTAGAAATAAAGAATTCACATGACTGAGGCGAAGATCTTATTTCCTGCACTACACAGAACCTTAGAAATGTATGCTTCACATCAACAGACTGAACGTGAGTACAGATCAGTACGAATACACCACAGCTACTAGAGAAAAACTAATTTCTTCTTCAGTTATACAAAGAATGACATGTTAATAGTTTGGCTGAAAGATACATATCTGGGAGCACAATTATTCCTTTAAAATGTATTTATTTATAGTAATTACTGAAAGTTAAATAGCACATTAAAAATACAACACTGAGGTCAAACCTAAGTTGTACTGGTTGAACATATTCCTTGCGAAATCTCTTCAGGTCCACGCTGATTGGCTGCTCGCCTTTCTCTATTGCCAATCTGTCTGCTTCGGTAGGTTCTGGCTCTGGGATTTCAAATCTAAAAAGAAAATCAAAAGGACAGAAATTTGTTTGTATATTAAAGAAAAAGATTTCAAATATACAGGAAAAATATTTTTACCAAGCAATCCTTTTTATCACTTCATGGAAAGGAAGTTATTGTTAAGCTTCCCTTAAGGTATTATATATTATGAAAAATTGCCCTTTTGCTATGTGGTACATTTTTACTTTTACTAAACAAAAGTTGTATAACTACCACTAATTAATGTAGAATAGGTTCATGGAAAAGATCCAAAAAAGAATCCAAAAGGAGTATACATTATCTAAAAGAATGTGGAAGATGCGGGATGTGGTGGTGTATGCCTGTAATCCCAGCACTTGGGAGATGAGGCAAGAGGATTGCTGTGATTTCAGGGCCAGCATGAATTGCACATCAAGATCCTGTCTCAAAAACAAACAAACAAACAAACAAACAACAACAACACACACACACACACACACACACACACACACACACAATAAGGACAAGTATAATATGCATACCAGTAATACAAGCACCCCAGGCGCTGAAGGACTGCAAATTCAAGCCCAGCCTAGGTAACTTAACAAGACCTTTGCTCCAAATGATGACAGGCGGGGATACAGCTTATTATGAAAAACCATTGGTTTACTATGGTTTAGTATCACCACTACCATAAAGAAAGAAGCTTACCTAAAACTTATTCTTAATATTTATATTATTAAAATGAAAAACAGGCTAATAAATGTCCCTAAATGATTATGAATTCAGAAAGGAGGCCTAAACGGGTAGGATAATCAAGTTCAAAAAACGAAAACCTTGCCTTATCATAGGAAATATAGCTAAAATATAAGTCTGAATGTTTTCTTATTTTAGACATAGTAATACAGCTAAGTAGATCTTCACAGTACATTACATTGACTGAAGCTAGTGAATTCAGTTTCATAACAACATGGAAACACAGATCAAGATACAAAGGTAATTTAAATTAAATTTAAATTTGTATTTATTTATTTATTTATTTTTGGTAGTTTAAATTTTTAAACATAAAACAAAAATCATTTTTTGTCTGAAATAAAAATTTTTAAAGGGCCAGTGAGGTAGGTAGCTCAGTGGTAAAGCACTTGCCTAGTATGTTTAAGGTTCAGAGATCAATTACCTAGTGTCATAACAAAAACAAATAAATATTATAACAAAGGAACTGTGAATTGTTTATAAATTAGAATATCTTTGAGAGATACACAGACATATCTACAGATAAAATGCCTGAAATCTACATCAAAATAATTCTGAGGGTATAATGTTTAAATCTGTAGTGAGATGAAACATAAATCAATGACTAAGGGGTGATAAGGTATTATATATTTTTCTACCCTTGTATATATTTCATTTAATCTTTTATTTACTTATTAATTAGTACAGGGTCTCACTATGCAGCACAGACTCATAGTGACCCTCCTGTCTCAGCCTCCTCAGCGCTGGAATTACAGGCATGTGCCACCACACCTAGTATCGGTGGCAGGCTTGGGGTGGAACTGGGGATTAAACCTAGGTCCTTGCACTTGTCACACAGGCACTTAAATTGCCAAGCTACCTCCCCTTACTCTTGTTTATGTTTTAAAGTTTCCCATAACAAGTTTGTCTTAAAAGGGAAAAGTAAAAAAAGTTACTTTAAGGAAATTAACGAAGTTCACTAAATTTAGTTTTTAATTTTCTAAACTGGGTCATTACAGTTTTACCACTTGAAATACTATTGAAGAGCTACAAAGAACTCTGTTACAAACAGGAATTGAGGGAGCACTTTTTTTTTTTAATGTATTTGGCACAAGGTCCCACTCACACTGATCTTTCTGTCTCAGCCTCCCTAGCACTGGGATTACAAGCATGTGCCACCAAGCCCGGAGCTGGTGCTAGCTCAATGTGCCAAGGGGCGGAGCCGGCACGTCATGTGGTACTGGAGATCAAACCCTGCAGTGCCCAGTCTGCTGAGCTATCCCACTGGCCCTAGTGAGCATTCTTTGAAGAGAACAGTAACACTGCCAATGTAATGCCAAATACATTATGTTCGACTACCTGAGTATGTTCTAGGTGCTAGCATTCTGCAACATATAAAGCAGTTAACTTTTCATAAAATGTTAATATACGTAAAATGTTCAATTACTCACCGTTCAATCAGTAAGCTTAGCAATTCTTGTGGTTTACAAAATGATCGATAAGTAGTAAGAAAAGTACGAACAAAATTGGGATCTGAAAAAGCAGAGCATAAAAACATTACATTATTCAGTTTAATTCAAAGTATCATATTTTTCCTTTTTAGTTAAATTCCCTGCACTGTGGCTTTTCCTGCTAGATGCAACATTTCTTGATAAGTAAGGAGTGTTTTATAGCTTTAAAATATGCAAATTTCACAAGCACTTATTTTTATGTTAAAAACATTTTCCTAGTATGTGTCTGCAGGACAAAACTGCACTCCCAGTGGGGAGCTGGTACCGGACACAGCACCCTCGTTCTTTTTCATCCCCTGCCCTCACCGCCCTCCAGCTCTTGGTCCCTTCCCTTTTGCAAAATATCTCCCTATTTTCTATTATCTATATTTTATTTTGTTCTTTATACACATTTTGGGTTTCTCATTTAAAGAAAAGCCATTGGAACACTTATTTAATAATAAAGTAAATAATATTAAAGTTAGAAACATTTAGTTTTATTTATCAGTATTTTCCATTTTCTAAGCCCCAAACACTTCTGATTGTCTTTAAAAAGCAAAGGCCCCATGTAAGCACTTATCACGAGTGTCACACACACCTGCATACATATGAAATGTTAACCTTTCAATTAACTTCACCACAGTTCCTCCTTTAATAATGGGGATTCCGCTTCTACTTTGCAAGTTGTCTTCAAAAACAATGTTCTCCTTGGAGTCTTTTACCACAAAACAGTACATTTCTGGACTTGGTAATCTCAGTGGCTGCTCATTTTCTTCTTTCAATAATACAGAATCTAGCATTCGATCTAGAGTGCTATGATAATGAAGAGAAATAAGTGCTGGCATCCAATTATTTTTCTCTTCAGCAGACTTAGCAGCAAATATTATGCTGTTTTCATCTTTGGATACTAGTTCAAAGGCATGCTTGCACTCACAAGTATCTTCTTTATCACAGATTTGTATTTTCCTCATGACAAACTTTTCTTTTAATCTATATTCTGCACTACTGCAACCTGGAAGCCGAGTCTGGCCATGATTAGGTTTACAGCTGATCATTAGCCCATCAAAAAGAAAAATGTGCCGTTCATGTTTAGCACCAATTCTTGTCAATGGTCCTTCCATTATGAATTCATTACAACACTGTCCAATATCTTTGCCTTCCCATCCATCTATGTTTTTCTGAATTTCATTCATTTTTTTGATAGCCAGGTGCTTGCTTCTTAATTGACGATTATAAAAAGGGCAAACAGGATCCCTTAAAAAAAAAAAAAAAAAACATAAATTTAGCTTACTCAATGATTAGGCAACCCAAATTGCATCAAAGAATAATCTGAAATCAAGTGACAAGATGAAAGACAAACTGGGTTGAGGAATGCAGTTCAAAGGGTAGAGCACACGCTTACAATGGGAAAGGCTGTGGGTTTAGCCCCCAGCATTCAAATTTTAAAAAGATCACCACTTTCTTCTAACCTTGCCACTAAATGTATTCAAATTTCATTGTTGTAAAAGAAAAGTATTGGGCCGGGGAGATGGCTCAGTGGAATATGCACTTCCTTGGCAAGCGCAAGGGCCTGAGTTCAATCCCCGGTTCCGCAAAAAAAAGAAAAGAAAAGAAAAGTATTACAGGCTCCATATTTTACTCTTAATGCCATTAAAAACTAGAAAGGAGTCTAAATTTCTTGCATAGATTATATAAAAAGTAAACATATCTTTAGATACATTAAGTATCTCTTAACACATGGTTATGCTAATCTTGAGACTAACAACATTAACAGAGGTGAAGGCAAAAGATGACTTTCAGGAAGCCAACAGCCACTCCACACCACATTTCCTGAGAACCCAGGCACCAGACACAAGGAATTCCATAGAGGCACTCAGATTCTCAAGAGCGAATTACCCTGGCCGGCGGCGAGGGGAATGCTGCTTGTAAATCCGGTCCATGCTACCCTGGAGATTCAAGAGAGCAGTGATAGCTTGATTCAAACATTCTCGGTCTTCTTGCTCTTCACTACATGCTTTCAGTTGCTAAGAAAAAGCAAAAGAAATTCAAACTGCACTGATTCTTCCCTCGATTTTCTTGTCATTAGAGAAAGCATTGACAGATATTGTAAGCTTTAAAAATTTTAAATACACTTAATAAAAGCCAGTATAATTTTAAGTAATTATGCATATCTCCTAAACCCTCAAAGACTTTACTACAAATACAATACAAATATAAGGTACTGTCAGCACAGAAGTAAGAAATAAGTACTGTCAAAATCACTTGTTATCTAAAACCTAAAGTTCACACATTCTTTTTACTCATTAACAACTAGGTACAGAGAATGGAAGATAAACTGCACATATCTTCTAGTGCTTAAATACTTAAATTCCAGCCATTTCCAAAAACTTTCATTCCTCTGTTAGACAACATAATCACGTGTGTAAACTTTAATACTTCATTTCACTGCAATTACCCTGCAAATAGTCTATGAAGGATTTCACAATTTTTTTTTTTTTAAATTTTATTTATTTATGTGTGTGTGTGGCCATCTCAGCCCACCAGGGGGCGAGGCTGGCTGGCATGTGGTGCTGGGGGATTGAACCGCGGTCCCTGTGCTTTGCTAAGCTTGTTCTAAGTAGGTGCTTTAGACCACTGAGCCATCTCACCAGCCCTCACAATTTTTGTACAATATAAAATTCAATCATTCTAATAAATACTATCAAGAAACTACAAAAATTAATATTCAATCTTATTAATACTTAGAAATAAGATTTAAAAATGGATTTATCTAATCCTCAGAAGTTTGGTTTTGTTAAAAAATTTTCCTGGGCCAGGGATATCACTCAGTGGCACAGTACCTACCTGAAAAGTGTGAAAGTGTGAAGTTGTTTGATTCCTGGTACACACACACGCGCACACACACACACACACACAGAATATATATCACACAGAAAAAAAATCTGCTTTTTAACAAATAATTCAGATTGGATTATGCTCCTCTATTTCAACAACCCTCACAGAATTCAAAGTGCAATACTATATAAATATACAAATTACAAAAAGATGTGTATTTACAGAAACAAGGAAAAACTATTTGTTCTTTCATAAAATTTTTAAAAGCATTTAAGATCTTTAACTTATGAGAAGTTTTGTGATAAATTAAAAAGTTATTATCACAAGAATGATCTCAAAAGCATTTGGCATTGGATTCCCTTCCTTAGCAAAGAACTGTTTAGGTATTATTTGAGAACCTCATAAGTGATCTTTCATATATGTGCTAGCAAGCCATAATCCCTGCACTGGGGAGGCTGAAACAGGAGGATCACTACGAATGCACAGTGAGACCCTGGACCAAATGCATTAAAAGAAAAAAGAGAGAGAGAGCTGCTGCTATGGGAAGATCACTACGAGTCCAAGTTGTGTAGTGAGACCCTGGACCAAATGCATAAAAATAAAAAACAAAACAAACATATATATATATATATATATATATATATGTCCTAAAATGTACTCCCCATTTGGAACACAGAGCCATTTAATTTTTAAAAGGTATTGTAGAAATCTTGCTGTCAAAGTTGGTAACAAAAAGAAATAAAACATTGAAATGATAAATGGAAAAGAAAGTTTCACTGGAAGTTTGCAAAAAGAATGAGTGGTTATTCTGACTTTTAAGTGTGAAAATTACTAACATGACTCATTTTGCTTCAATTTTTTTTTTAAAAAAATGATTCTCTGCTTCCTTCTATAAAGTATTTTCTTAATAAAGATGGATACCGATGGTGTACTTACAGGATTTTCCCTATTGGTTGGTTGGTTAAAATTTGCAAATTATCACTAATCACTATTCTCATTCTACAAAATGGGAAATACTTAGGTATGTGGATACTAAGTATCTACTACTTACTTATTGCAGGTGGTAAACTCACTCCTACATGTCATTTTAACATGGTTCTGCCAGCTTGAATTATCAGCTGTATATCCATTACTGCCCCATCAGGGGGCTTGTACCACCCAATGGGTGAGACATGAATTATGCCCCATTGTGAACGCGTTAAATTGTTATGTAACAATGTATGTTATCAAGTAGTAACAAATTTCAGGCTTCAGAGAATTAGATTTTCTAGTGACAGAAGTATATAAAATAATGACTATTTGACATAACCATTTTATTTATTTATTTATTTATTTATTTTTGCAGTACCAGGTAATGAACTCAGGACCCTGCACTTGCCAAGCAAGCGCTTATTCTACTGAGCTATCTCCCCAGTCCTTATTTGACGTAATCTTAAATCCAAGAATTTGCTAAATGTTTCTTGAATTTTCAGGAGTAAAAATGTACAGTGGCATAATGTCCAAGCTAATTTTCTATAATCTTTGGAAGAATATACTCTAAACTTCTCACACTAACACAGAAATTACTGTGCTGAATACTTGCCAATGAGTCACGTGCTTTCACGGTTCCATATACTTCCTATGTTTTAGCCTCTGCCTTCCTTACCTATCTGATAACTTACCCTCCAGGATACCCAGAAATATGACCTCATGATACCTTTTCCTTTTAAGTTTTGTCTTGTGAATTAATAGCAGATTCACAGATTTATAGTTGCAAAAGTAGTACAAGTTACTGCTGGATACTCTGGGGTAATGTAACACAAGTTCTTTGCCCTGAGCCACATACCCACCCCTTACTTTTTAAGACAGGGTCTCACTAAGTCCCTAAATTGACCACACTGGCATGGAACTTGCAATCCTCTTGCGTCCCAGAGCACCAGGATTGCAGGTGTGCCCCACTGAGTCACTGATTTTTAAACTTTTGTCGTGTTTCATTATTCCGTATGCCAACGTGTGTGCACCACTTTCTCCCCAGATTATTTAAGAGTATTCATTGATATCATCTAGTTTCTTGCACTGTGAAATAGTTTTTGAGATGATGTCTGTTTGGAATATAAAGAAAAGTCAAATTGGCCAAAGATAATTGGCTGTCAATATAATTTCCTTTTACTTCTTTGATATTTCAGTAGTACTTTTATTAGTAAATGTATGTAATAAAGCTTACATTCGTTTTAGGGAGAAAATACATGTACCTAAAATATCGCGATTGTTTTTTTATTTCCTTCCCAACACCACCCACCTCCCTCTCTCAATGGTAATGTTAGAATAAGAGTATTCTTCTTGGGGGCTGGGGAGATGGCTCAGTAGAATAAGCGCTTGCCTGGCAAGTGCAAGGTCCTGAGTTCAATCCCTGGTTCTGCCAAAAAAAAAAAAAAATTCTACTAAAGAATAAGAGTATTTTTTTATAGTCACAAGATAGTAATCAACTTCAGGTTCATTTTTGCTAACTGTTGCAATAATATCTGATCAGTGACACTAAACTGTAATGCTCTGTTGCCTCTTTTAACCCATAATGTTCTCAGCACTTGCCTACCATGACTCCTTCAAATAATCATAATTCATTCTCATTCTCTCTCTCTCTCTCTCTCTCTCTCTCTCTCTCTCTCTCTCTCTCTCTGAGATAAATCTCTACACCTAACAGTCATATGAATTTGTAGGGGGCCGGGGAGATGGCTCAGTAGAATAAGAGCTTCCCTGGCAAGCAAAAGGGCCTGAGTTCAATCCCCAGTTCCAAAAAAAAAAAAAAACCCAAACATATGAATTTGTACTGACTTCTTTAAGCAATTACTTACTTCTAGCTCACTGATAACATGGTACTACTCCCATTAAGCACTTACATTTAATTTTTTAAAAGATTAGTATTTTTAAAAATTTATTTTTATTGGTACATATTTGCAGTACATAACGATTACATTCATTGCGGGGAATTGGTACAGCTATATAACACATCTCAATTTTTTTTCCTTTTCCTCCCACCCCTCTATATTTTGCTAGCAAAAGTGTAATGATTTGTTTGACATCCATCTTCTCCACTAAATTTTAAATTCCTCAGAGACAGGGACTATATCTTATCCATTTTTAGTGTAATACCTGTATGTGGTTAAGTATCTTAAGTGGGCTGGTGAGATGGCTCAGTGGTCTAAGGCACCTACTTAGAACAAGCTTAGCAAAGTACAGGGACCACGGTTCAATCCCCCAGCACCACATGCCAGCCCCGCCCCCTGGTGGGCTGAGCTGGCCACACACACACACACACACATAAATAAATAAAATTTTTAAAAAAAGTATCTATAAGTAACTTCAGAAGTAATGAGGATAAATGATTTTGTACATATTTATAATTTTAGCAATGATTGCTTTTGTGCTGTTGTGTTTCCTTACAATGACACCAGGTACAACTATGCACAATATTGGTCCATGTCTAAATCTGGTGACAAGTTCAAAAAGATCTCTTTTATATTAAAAAACAAACTGTACTATTGCAGTTTAATAAAATTGAGTATGCTTTGCAAAAGAGGTCAGAGAATTAAACACCCTTGCAACAGACAATTAAAAGTAATAAAAATGAAGTGGAATGTCATTAACTTTTGTAGTGGTGAAAAATTCAAGTTAAAACCTATGATTCCTTTTTTAAAATGTGCTTTAAAAAAACATACACACGGGGCTGGGGATATAGCTCAGTGGCACAGCACTTGGCTGACAAGTGCAAGGTCCTAAGTTCAATTCCTGGTAAAAAAAAAAAAAAAAAAAAAAAAACAAAACAAAACCTGACACAAAAATCAAACACATTATCTTTCTTCATTATGTCCTTGAGTGATATACCAGCACCAAAAGAATATGCCGTAAAATGACACTCTATCAGTCTATTTTAAGGATCAGAACATTTCTTTCATTATCATCCCAAACTTGATGTTAAGAATATATTTAAAGAGCTGAGGAGCTAGCTCAGCAGTCTAAGCGCCCGCCTACGCAGGGTTCAATACCCGGTACTGCAGGCTGTGCTGGCCCCGCCCGGGTGTGCTAAGCCAGCCACTGAGTCCCAGCATGATGGTGCATGCTTTTAATCCTAGTGCGGGGGAGGCTCTAAACAAGAGGATCACTATGAGTCCGAGTTGTGTAGTAAGACCCTGTACCAAATACATAAAAAATT